TTGGTGAAAATCGGTTCAGATATAGCTATAGTTCGTAAAATGCACTATAGAATTAGATAGATTTTGATTTGGTACCAAATATCTCATAGAGCTCTGAAATGCTCTGTATAAACCTTTTTACGAGAGCTCCACTAAATATGCATAGTGGTGTAGGGTATCATATAGTCGGCCCCGCCCGACTTTTGAGCTTTCCTTACTGGTTTTTACTTGTTTTTGTATTTTCACACTTCTTCGCCCTACTATTGTCCTCTTTCATATGTATTAAATTCATTGCCTTACTTTATGTGATCTCCAAAAATTTTTCTGCTTGTATTTTTTAATCTTCATCAACCATTAAGAGTTCTTAAAATGTTTGAAGTATTTAAATTGTTTTCTCATACTTTTCAGTTCAAGTGTCAATTGTATTTTAAAAATAAATAAATGTAACCAGTAAGCGTAGGTATAGTCTGGATCACCGAGCATGTGATACCCTACACCTTTATACTTTGAGGGGAAAATTCTCTTGATCTTAAGGCATTTTGCAGGAAAAATTTAGTAGATTATGAAAGTCAAGCTAAAAATAGGAGATACGTGTGTTGACGTTTTGAAATTTCACATTACAAAGTAACTTTAGCAAGAGGAGCAAATTTTCCCCTCTTCCAACTATTTTTATTTTTTGTATTTTCTTGAAATGTTTATATTTTAGGTATTTGGATTGGATTATTTTGGTTTAAAAATGACTAGATAGAACTAGTCATGAATTTGGGACTTTTTTTATACCCAACAACACTATGTGTTGGGGGTATTATAAGTTTGATTGGGCCAAAAATTATGTAACTCTTCGAAATATTGGTTTCCCACATAGGAAAGTATGTATGGATCTTCCTATCTCGCCGAGCTGAGTCGATCTAGCTATGTATGTCCGTCCGTCCGTCTGTCCGTCTATCCGTCTGTCCATGTTAATTTGTAATCACTCTACAGGTCGCAATTATGGCCCGATCTCCACGAAATTTAGAATGGAGGTGGGGTTAAGGTCAGAATAGAACCCTATTTCTTTTGGAGATGATCGCATAATATCTAGGTGTTGAAATGTTTAATGTATAAAATCTTAAAAAATCGCAGAAAAATATGCCAATATTGGTGTTAATATAGATTTTGTAGTATTTTGTGACATATTTTTATTTTTTTCATATTTTTTATCGCATGCGATTTTTTCAATTTGACTTATAATATTTTTTCACCTTACAACACAGGTTGAATTTATTATATGAGGATTGCAAATATCGTCCGATCCTCACGAAAATTTTCACAAGGGTAGGTTTGGGCTCAGAAGGGCTAGCCCTATTGTTTTCAAAGATTTCCGCAATATATTAGGGGTTGAAGTGGACCAAAAAAAAATTTTCCTGGTTTTGCAGCCGTTATAAAGGTCACAAATAGAAACCAGAGGACACGAAATCTCTCATAAAGTTAGAGTTTAGGACACTAATTTTGTGTGAAAAAATACCAGCATTATTTACAGGCGATATCCGAAATACACATAAGGTGAACTTCTGGATTTTTTATGCTGATTTTGTTGACGGATACTGCCAAATATCGTAGACAAGCAAATCATATAGAGAGTCTAAATTTAGAGATACAGAAGGGCTTCTTGCTTTTGGAGATGATTGCAAAATATTTAGAGGTTCAAATTATCCAAAAACAGAAATGTTTTTCCGATCACACAATTGAAGCCAATCGACACGCCTGTGAAGAGAGTTAAGGACAGGGAAGAATTCTAGCATTTTGGATAACCATTGGATTATATTTATCTGCAAAATGGACTACAACAACTAAAGCCCGACGGAGTGCATAAATGTTGGGCAAATGTCCCTAGTCAAAATCCTAATTTCAAAAGCGAAATCTTTCAATATGGATTTGGACATAAGGAGGCTTCTAACTACTGTTCGACAAGTGATCGCCGAGGATCTTTTCCGATTTCTACTACTACATCTAAAATTTTTTCCAATGAGAGCAGAGTCTCGTATGTGTCAAAGTGAGCTAACCAACAACAATCACCGCCCAATGGCATCTGCGCTCTACGGTCTCCGCCGAGAGAAGTTGCCAAAGATATGTCCGTGGTGTCAATCAGCATCCGTGATTGACTGGACACGTCTCTTTAAACGGGATCATAGCACGTCAAGATATAACAATCCTCTTACCAATTTAATACCCCCTTTTCGTAAATTTGATTAACTACATTGCTCCATGTACTCGTATGTATTTGCCATCCTTTTGCAAACAGATGTTTTTTCTTCAAAATAAAATTTTATTATCGAATCTAATATTTCATGGCCACTTGACATAAAGGATGAACAAGACCCAATTTTTTAAAAGAAAATATTATCAAAGTTTGAATAGTATTTATGAAAGCTTTATTTAAAAAAAGTAGATAAAACATGCTTCGCCCTTGAATCACATTTAAACAATTCAAAGATTTTATGGCGCCTACGTCACGCCCATCTGAAAATCAAACAAAAGCATAAAGGTATTGTTCAACATTAAAGATAAAAAAATACAATTAAAACAATCTGATTTCCTAACAAACCACTTGAACAACCTTTTTTTACCACTAAGGATATTTGTATTTTATGCTGAATTTTGTTAACCTAATTAAGACGATGAACAGAACCCGTTAACAATGTCTAAACGAGATAATTTGGCGAAACAATGCCATGTACCCCACATAATGTGTTTTGCTAATCGCACGGCTGCAAGTAGGTGAAAATATTCCCACAAAACTTTAGTTCGAAACGTGAAAGCTGTGTAAATGGAAAGAGGAGTTTGTTTTGCTGTTCGTTTTTTTACCTCATTCCTCTTGTTATTCAGGGTCAATAAGATAGGCTGTTAACCCTCCATAGAAAATGTACTACAGCCAAAGGGGAAAATAAAAACGAAAATCTAATGGAGATATTTAAAATGTCTGGAATGAATTCAATATGCTTGGAAAACAGACGAAAGCAATGCTTTTGAAATGCTAATGATATCAAATAAAGTAGGTTGTTCTATGTATCTGCTGTTAATTTTGTAGATTGCAATTAAATTGAATAGACGTACAACTTTTAAAGTAATACGTGTAAGTGGACGTCAAGCTCCGCCGGCTTGAACTTTCTTTCCTGAAAATCGCTAAAATATTGAGATTTACTTTATATGACTTAAAGCTTCAACAAGTTAAAAACATTAAGTTCGACCGGGCTGAACTTTTAATACCCTCCACCATTGGGTAAAGAAAACATTTTTATATATTTAATATCTGAATTTAAAATTTTTCCACTTTAAACTACAAATATCAGTAAAACAGTTTGGATAATGCTGTTAAAATTTTCAAAAAACCATAAAATGAGTGAGGCCGTTATATGGGGGCCACATCAAAACGGAAACCTCTAAAGAGGTTTCATAGAAAAGTTTATACTTTACAAGTTTTTACTTCAAGGATTGTCATCTACCACATTTTCTTAAATACCAAATTTCAAACCATTTCGTGGGTACATGTAATTAGGATTATCAAAATACCTAATATCGGTGGGTGTCGTTGTATGTCCGCTATAGGAAAAAGTGGACCCAATTAGCTGTACTGCAAATACCAATTTTAAGACAAATACGTGGAAAATGTGGCAAAAATCATCAAAATATGTCCGCTATAGGAAAACGTGGACCTAACTATCCAATGCCACCGGAGCTAGAACCCATTATGACCTACAAATACTAATTTTAAGAAAAAATCAAAATACCGAATATCAGGAGGTACCGTTAAATGAGGGCTATACAAAAACGTTGTCCTATGCATACGAGGTTTCCCAACCGAAGCAAGAACTCATTATGACCTACAGATATAACTTTTTAGGCAAATCCGAAATAGAAAAGTGTGGAAAAAATCATCAAAGTACCGAATATCGGGATGTACCATTGTATGGAGGCTATGCCAAAGCGTAGACCTATATATGCTATGTTCCGTCACCGGAGCTGTAACCCCTTACGAACTACAAATACCAATTTTTAGACAAATCCGTGAAAAAATATTGCAAAAATCATCAAAGTACCGAATATCCGAAAATATGGGTGCTATAGCAAAACGTGGACCAATATATACTATGTTCCACCACCGGAACTAGAACTTATTACGAACTACAAACACCAATTTTTAGACAAATCCATTGAAAATTTTGGAAAATAACATCAAAGTATTGAATATCTGGAGGTACAGTTATATGAGGGCTATACAAAAACGTGGATCTATGCATACAATTTTTCGTTACCAGAGCTAGAACACATTTTGACCTACAAAAACCATTTTTTAGAGAAATCCGTGAAAAAGTTTGGCGAAAATCATCAAAATACCGAATATCGGGAGGTACCGTTATATGGGGGCTATACCAAAATCTGAAAAAAAATATATATATATCATTTTCAATACCAACCACCGTAGACACAAAACAAATTGTTGTGCCACACACAAACGGACATCGTTAAATCGAATTAGAATTTTATGGTGATCATGAATATGTTACTTGTCGTTACTTAGGGACTTCATTAAACTATTTTTTCTAGGATTAGTTTTATTTATTGAGATTCCAAAATATATCAAATACTTCTACTATACTTCGTCTAGAAAATCTGTCCTTAAAAAACACCTAACGGCAGCAAACATAGTAACTGTATTTGTTTTCTAATGCTAATTTTTTATCTATGCCTATTAACAACAAATGTGCATTCTGATTTTCTTCCGTAATGCTTTCCACATGTTTTCCTCCGAAAATATATCAACAAAATGTATTTGTATACAAAATGTGGAAAAGAGAACATTTGTTTGTCGCCAAATGTTGAGAAGATCCATTTTTCTCTCTCGAAAATATTTTCCAAAAATTTTTATGTGTCGATCTAATATTTAGTTAGTTTCAAGATTCGTGTGTGCGCTGATGGAATGTTTCGCCTTGTGAAAAAATATATTATATGTGAAATAAATATTGAAAGTATCATATCTGCTCCCAAATATACATATAATTCATTATAACCGAAATTTGTAATGTAATGCAAAACAAAATGAGAAATAGTTTTACTTGGAGTGTTTTTCTCATTGCGGTGCTATTTATACGAAAATCGCAGCAAATTGAAAATATAAATATTGGTAAAAACTTTTTCGATTAAAACAAAAATTGGAATAAAAAAATTTGGTTTCTTTATTTAAAGGTGCATTATTTTATGACGATGAATACGAAATCGAAGAATCATTTGTTACAACAATTAATTTAATCAACAATCAAAATGAAGTGAATTTCAAATTAAATCCGTTAATTGAAAAACTTTACGATTATGATAGTTCGGCAATTTTAGAGAATAAAGGTCAGTAATTTGTTTGTTGTTTTGGAAAAATGAAAAATTTTATACTAAAGTGATTTATTTTTGTTAATAATATTTCAGTCAATAAACTAATAGAGAATGGCGCTGCAGTTATTTTTGGACCAAGTTCAAAGGCAGACAGTGGTATGTATGAACAATGTTTGCACGAACGACCAGTGATGGCAAATTGCAAATACTAGTACGTTGTACGGAAGAGTAAAATAGAGTAAAAACAATATATTTTATTGGAGGATTTGTGTGTGTGAAGTAGTAAAGTGATGTAGCTGTGGAAGAGGGATAGAGCCTGTACAATAGACAAGAAGAGAATATCAACTGAAGAGGAATATTTCAAGTTTAGACAAATAAACGTATAGACTAAAAAGTTTTTTTTTGTTTACCCTCCCAGGCCATGGTTGTTCATTGGGACAGTAAACTGAAACACTTTTTTCGAGCATAACAGATGATACAACTTTTTAGTCTATACCTTTATTTCCCATGTTGCAAAGGCTAGTCGATTTTGTGTAAAAAAAAACAATAAAAGCAGCAACACTATCTTATGTTTAGATTGTAGAGATCGCCCATAATCCTATTTATTTTTGATTTATTTACAGTTGTGTGTTGCAAATAATACAAAAATAACATAACAAACCATCTAAGAGAGTACTCTACAAAAGTAAAATTTTTTCGATTTCGCTATTTGAGTGGCACAGGAAAATAGAGTATACTTTAGGAGTACTCCCGTTTACATTTCGGGGATATAGGCAAACAAAATAAACTGCAACAGGTAAACACACAGTTAAGTTCGACGGTTAAGATTCCCTCCACTATTAGGAAAATAAACATTTTTAAATATCTAGCAATTGTATTCATATAGAGGGTAAATGAAAAGAATATATTTTTATACCCTCCACCATAGTATGGATAGTACATTAAGTTTGTCATTTCGTTTGTAACACCTCGAAGTATACATATTAGAACCCACATATTCTTGATAAGCATAAAATTCTATGTCGACTTAGCCATGTCCGTCTGTGGCAACCACTCTAGCTTCCGAACGAATTGAAGAAAGTTTATAAAATTTTACTCAGAAGTGTCTTTGGTCTGCAGAACTTTTGGTATTGAGCTTATGACCGTTACATTGATGTTGATATCCAAGATATCGTGTACATATACCAAAATATATACAGTTTCATGTATAACATAGACCGCTGTGCGGATTTTGACAACTCCTACTAATTCAGAATGGCTTTTCGGCAGAAAGAAATAAAATCTAGAAAAATCGCATTAAAAGATGCCAATAAATTGTGAATATTTTTCTGCAATATTTTTTTATTGTTTCTCATATTTTTTATCGCATGAGATTTTCTACAATTTGACTTACAATCATGGCAAAACAATAAAGGTAAACTCATTTACTACATTCCATAATTAAGTCTTACATGACTTGCCAGACTTTTTGTTTTCGGTTTTTATTTGACTTTTATACCCTCTAAAAGGCTTATTTCGACAAGTTTTGGTAATTTAAGTTCTTTGTATGAAGAGCCCATCCTTGCAAAAATTATAAATATATGCCCGCGTTTTGGGGTTATATCTTTGAAGTTATCTCATTGTTTCAGATATTTCTCTCAGGCCCAGGTACCTAACCAATGTTTTCTGGGGGTTGACAACACGGTATTCTAAACGTATTAAGTACAAAATATCAAATTACAGCTTATTTCAATGGAAAATCTTGCTAAGTTATTTACAATACTAACAAGTTAAAAAGCAGTAAGTTCGGCCGGGCCGAACTTTGAATACCCTCCACCATTTGGAACGAATTTGGAAATAAAATCCTGAAAAAACTTTGGTAAATTTGTAAAAATACCGCATATTGCCGTTATATTGGTGCCTATACGACGTGGACACACACATGCATTATTTGTCATAAGTCATAACCAAATTCAAATTCGGAACTTGAAATAAACGGTGAATAATGTAGCTAAAATCATCAAAATACCGAATATCGAGAGGTACCGTTATATGGGGGCTATGTGAAAACTTGGACCCATTTACGAACTTAACCTGCCTACTGGCAAAATAAACATGTGTGCAAAATTTTAGCCTTCTATCTCAATTTGTTCGAAAGATAGCGTGATTACAACAGACAGACAGACAGACAGACAGACGGACAGACAGACACACAGACAGACAGACGGACATGGCTAAATCGTCTTAGAATTTTACGCTGATCAAGAATATATATACTTTGTTGGGTCTGACGTGAGTATTTCGAGGAGTTACAAACGGAATGACAAAACAAGTAAGCAAAGGCTACAGTCGAGCGGTGCCGACCGTTGAATACCCTACACCACTATAGTAAACGATACAGTTTATATAGGCGAGATACTCGGAAGAATTCCACAAGATATTGTGACAAATAATAAAAGAAAACCATCAGGTTCCGTTCTCTAATTTTCGAATAATAGCAACTTAAACGAATTTACACATTTCCAATATATTGGTAGATGTTGTACGTAAATGGTCTTCCTAGATCTGGAACCAATATTTCCCAAAGACCTATAATCCCTCAGACGTGGCAAAAGATTAACATTTATTATTGGTTTTTGACTGAAACGCAACGAAATCAGCGTTAACGAAATAGTCAGAAGTGCGTCTTTCCTGTATTTGTGAATTCTCCAAAAAGTCACCGGAATGGACATTTTCGTATTTTGTCTACAAAAGTTGGCAAACTATTTCACACATTGAATATTTTTGGGATGGCCATCCAAAACTGCTTGGCTTTTGCAATGTCCGGTAACCCCCATCCAAATGTGCGTGAGGATTGGGCAATAATTACGACCTGCCGACAATTTTGCAGTTTTTTGGTCCATTTCAACCCCTAAATATATGGCGATCATCTCCAAAAAGAGTAGGCTTCTATTCTGACCCTCATCTTAACCCCATGCAAAATTTCGTAAGGATCGGGCAATAAATGCGATCTGTATATGATATCCTGATATCCTAACTACTTAGTTTTGTTAGCTGTAGAAATATTACCAAATGTTTAATTCAAAATGAAAATATGCCAAAAATATGACAAAATTGAAAAAAATATGAGAAAATGTTACAAAATCAATATTTTCATCTATAGAGAGATATTTTTATGCGATTTTTTTAGTCGTTTTTCTTCCCTGCCAAGAGGCCATTCTGAATTAATGAGAACTGTCAAAATCAGTTCAGTCGTTCTCGACATATAAGAGATCTTTCAAGCATATCTTCTTTGATAGACATATATATCGCACATATTTTGCTATATATCCGATTTGTTGGATGTTAACATCAATGTAAAGGTCAGAAGTAACCTTGTCATGGCTTTGTGAGTTCGCCGGGATTTAAAATATTCGCGGTTTAATGAAAAATTTTGAATTTTTTCAACACAAAGAAATGGTCTGTTTTACCCTCTAAATATTATCCGATGACCATCTAAATATTATTCGTTAACGAAATAGTCAGAAGTGCGTCTTTCCTGTATTTGTGAATTCTCCAAAAAAAGTCACTGGAATGGACATTTTCCTATTTTGTCTACAAAAGTTGGCAAACTCCTTCACACATTGAATATTTTTGGATGGCCATCCAAAACTGCTTGGCTTTTGCAATGTCCGGTAACCCCCATAATTACGACCTGCTGATAATTTTGCAGTTTTTTAGTCCATTTCAACCCCTAAATATATGGCGATCATCTCCAAAAAGAATAGGCTTTTATTCTGACCCTCATCTTATCTCCATGCAAAATTTCGTAAGGATCGGGCCATAAATGCGATCTGTATATGATATCCTGATATCCTAACTACTTAGTTTTGTTAGCTGTAGAAATATTACCAAATGTTTAATTCAAAATGAAAATATGCCAAAAAATATGACAAAATTAAAAAAAATATGAGAAAATGTTACAAATCCAATATTTTCATCTTTAGAGAGATATTTTTATGTGATTTTTTAGACGTTTTTTCTTTCCTGCCAATAGGCCATTCTGAATTAATGAGAACTGTCGAAATCAGTTCAGCCGTTCTCGATATATAAGAGATTTTTCAAGCATATCTTCTTTGATAAACATATATATCGCACATATTTTGCTATATTTCCGATTTGTTGGATGTTAACATCAATGTAAAGATCAGAAGTAACCTTATCATGGCTTTGTGATTTCGCCGGGATTTAAAATATTCGCGGTTTAATGAAAAATTTTGATTTTTTTCAACAAAAAAGATATGGTCTATTTTACCCGCTAAATATTATCCGATGACCACCCAAATGGGTAGGTGCCAGCCCTAAACTCTAGCTACATGCGAAATTCCGCGTCGATTGGTCTATAATTGCGACCTGTAGAGCAAGTGCAAAATCAGGAATTTTTTCAGTTTTTGGTCCATTTCAACCCCTAAATATTATGCGATCATCACCAAAAGAAATAGGGTTCTATTCTGACCCAGGCCCCACCTCCATTTTAAATTTCGTGAAGATCGGACCATAATTGCGACCTGTAGAGTGATTACAAATTAACATGGACAGACGGACAGACGGACAGACGGACAGACGGACGGACGGACATACATAGCTAGATCGACTCAGCTCGGCGAGATAGGAAGATCCATATATACTTTCCTATGTGGGAAATCAATATTTCGTGGTGTTACATAATTTTTGGCCCAATCAAACTTATAATACCCCCAACACATAGTGTTGTAGGGTATAATTAATATACCCTCCATAGTATGGTGGAGGGTATAAAAACAGCGCCACGCCATTTTTGACCCCCCTCATACTTCACTGTATCTTTGCAACACTGCGGCTTGAGTCCTTCATTTTTTTGGTCTTCTCACCGTAAAATTTTTCACGTCTGAGCCTTTAATACTAAACGTAGACTCATCCCAGAAATAATGTTTTTCCCATTGAGCTTGATTCCACTTAATATTATCGTTTCCGAAAGCCTTTCTGATTTTTTCAGATATAAATGGTTTTTTTGATGTCTTACGGGCATGCAGACCAGCTGCCACTACTCGTCTACGCACTGATCTCGAGCTTATATCCAATGATTGCTCTCTCACCAATCCAGTTGAACTCTTAAATAGTTGTTTTTTATTTCTCTCACAATTTGTGGATCAGTACGGGCTGAAGTTTTTCACGGCCTTCATCCGTTATAGACTGTTACTACTGATCCAGTTTCAAAAAACCGTCTTAGTATACAGAAATAATTATGAAATCACATAAATATTTATGAAATATTTCTCGGAAATCATTTTCTGTGATACGTTGTTTTGATAGTCACTGATAATTTGCTGTTTTATTCAGGTACTGTATTTGCTTATAGCCTTTTTTAAAAATTTTTTGGACAGTACTTAAAAACGAAGAGAAAAAAGGATTTATGACAAGCGAAATTATCGAAGGAAGCAAAAACCGATAAATATTACAATAAAAACCAAACATTATTTTTTATATAAAAATGAATTTTGGTTTTATGTTTTAGGTTTTTAAAAAGTGAATAAAGTACCTAATTTAAAACAAGAAAAACTTTCTCATTTTCATAATTTTTGGAGAAGTTACAGGGCATTCATTCTTCTTGTAATTTCAGTTGCTTTATTTTTGGCCATCAGTGTATATAATCATTTTTCCCAAATTTTCGACCATTTTTGGGTAGGTTTTATAATGTCTTCGTAATGGTACAATATACATCTTTCCATCCATACATTTTATTTTCTTTTATTTACAAATATTGTTTATTTTCAATAAATTTTGATTTTCCATCACTGTTTCGAAAATGCTTTAGTACTCTTTCATATGTAGATCTATTTTCCATCCCCACACAAAATGTGTGACCCACATTTATTTTATGATGGAGCGGTGGCGACAAAAATATCCATGTTTTTCACATTGGTTTCTTTGCTATTGCATTTTCTTTGTTTATGCTTTTCTTCTTATTGTTTTTATTCATATGTTTAGATATTGTCTCGCTTATTTGTAATGCCACCGGCATACCGCACATGCTCTTCGATTATTTGGAGGAAGAGAACGATCTCTTGAAGATTAACCATCAAATGTCTCTCAATGTCTTTCCCTCTCAGCCGGTGCTGTCGAAAGCGTATGCGGATATTGTACAGAATTATGGCTGGAGAAAATTTACGATAATCTATGATGAGGACGATGGTAAGATGAAAATGTGTAAAAAAGATATTATTTTATTATTATTTCTTTTCCTTTGTATTTTTAGCCAGTGCTCCATTTCGTTTACAAGATCTCATCCAGCTAAGAGACCTCAATGAAAAAATTGTTCGTGTTCGAACATTTAAGAGAGGCGTAGATCATCGCATTTTATGGAAGAGTATTAAGGGAGAAAGACGAATTATTTTGGATTGTCCACCCGATATGCTGGTGGAGCTTCTGAACTCTTCGATTCCATATGGAATGACGGCGCAGTTTAATGTAAGTTGTGAAAATAAAAAAAACCCTATGCTTAAATAATGGTATTAATTATTTATGGAAAAATTGACTGAAGATACACATTTTAATAAAATGTCGCATTGGGAATATTGTTATACATTTTTATAGTTATATGGAGAGGTGTATTTGGCCAACAATAAGTGACATTTTAAATTACTTCACCATTTCTACAAGGAACTACTTTTCTCACCTTCTTTTCAGCATTTATTTTTAACGAATTTAGACACCCAAATATCTGGTTTAGAGGAGTTAAAAGACAATGTGACATTTGCTGCCAATGTAACTGCCATTCGTATGAAACAACATGAAGTTGATAATTTGGAGGTATGTAACCGTATCGGCAATATATTTGCTTACAAAAAAAATTTTTTGTAGGAAAGCATTTGGAATGAAATCGACTTGCCAACTATGAAACTGTTACCAGACCTAATTCACGACGCCGTTATGCTATTTTATTTGGCCGTTAAAAATATCAGTGTTATGTACGAAATAAACCCGCCAGGTACGCCGTACACGTACGAGGAAGGCAATGAAAATCCTTGGCCTATGGGCTTGTACATAAATCGAGTTATGAAAGTGGTAAGTTGATGAGGAAAGAGGAAGATGAAATAACAGTATCCAAATAATATGTTTCTTCCATATCAATAACAGAGGAAGATGTTTGTACATTTGATTGTTTGTTTGAAATTTTTTAGACTCAAAACCCGCTAAACAGATTTTCCTGCAAGTTTCCAAATATCGCCTGACATAGGCTATATCAATTCCTAAAGGAATTCCACTTGGAACTTCAGTTATAGCATCAGAATCGCGTATGCACATATCTATTGATCTGTTATATATACAGTCTTCAAATTTGAAATGTTTAACGGAATTTGGTACAAAAATAAATTTGCTAAATTATATTGAAATAGGTACAGATTTGAATATAGGTCCCAATTATATTTTCGCCCGATTTGATGCACAAAATAGCTCCCATATATATTTTCGTCCGATTTCACATATTTGATGCACCAAACACGATATGTATGTCCGATTCCAATAAAATTCGGAATAAGAGAAGAAGTTTGGTACCAAAATTATGTAATAAATTATATTGAAATCGGCACAGATTTGGATGTAGCTCCCATACATATATTTTCGGCCGATTTCATATATTTAATGCACCAAATACTATATGTATGTCCAATTCCTATAAAATTTGGAATGAGTGCCGGCATTCAGTAGAAAAATGAATTTGAAATTGGTGACAATCAGATTTAGATATAGCTCACCTACATATTTTCGTCCGATTTCGATTTTATTGTCCTCCAATGCGTAATATTCATGCATACCCGATCGAATTCAGCCCAGAAGCAAATACTTCAAATTTCCTGAAAATCGGTTCATTCATAGCTATAGCTCTCATATATATGTTTCATCCGATTTGGTATTTAGATATCAGATACAGCTCCTACCAAGATTTTTTGTGATCAGTTCAGATTTGGATACAGCTCCCATATATATCATTATCCGGTTAATATCAGGCCAAATGAAATAGAATTCAGCATATCCAATCGAATTCACCCCAGAAGCAAGTTTGGTAAAAATCGGTTCAGACATAGCTATAGCTTCCATATATATATTTCACCCGATTTGGTGTTTAGGTCACCCACATTCGTTATATGCAATCCACAACAATAGTATATGGTCAGATACAACTCAGAAATATATCTGTCAAATTTTAATGACATCGGTTTAGAATTGGGGTATATCTCCCACATATATCTTCGTTCGATTTTAAGAATATTGTTCGCCAAGTGTGTAATATTAGCCCAGATGGGATGCTGAATTTCGATTCAGATATAGCTTTAACTCCCATAAAAAAGTCTCATCCCATTTTGTATCTAAGTCACTCAAATCTATATTATACACTCCATAATAAGGATTTACGGAACAAGATATTGTACACTTTAATACGACCTTTTCCAAGTTTTTTCGAGATCGGTTCAATTTTGGATACACCTCCCACATATATATTTCCCTCTAATTTGATGTAAAGAATTTAAGTGTTTCGAAAGTCATAACATGCACTCCATAGCAACGAGACTTGGTTCGACATAAAAATACATCGAATTTAAACCACTCTAAAGCCGTAGTACCAAAATTACTTATACGAAATCTACTAAATATTCAAAGTGGTAAATATTCAAGATATTCGTATATAAAATCAAAAGGGGTCAAAAGCGAAGCTCGTCATATATAAAACTCTAATTTAGAAGACAAAACATTAGTGCTATTATTTTGACCACTAGTTTATTACACTATTCTAAAAAATAATCTTTTTCAACTATTTAGCTTGCCTCTTCGGATGATCGTAATTTTCACATGAGCTATATGCAATTCGATGAAGGTGGTCAAAGGATTAATTTCACGCTGGAAATTTATGAACCGATCGATAATTATGTATTGGCCACATGGAGTCCGAATGGTCATATTAGTCAAAAAGTGGTGGAAATGACAAATATAAAAAAGATAATTTACAAAGTGGCTACACGTATTGGAGAACCCTATTTTATGTTGAAGTATACCTCATCGGAGAACAGTTGATTGTAATACAAAACTAAAGTCGAACATTTTCAGGGAAGATGCCGAAAACCGCACCGGCAACGATCGTTATATCGGATATGCTGTTGATTTAATCGATGCCATTGCAAATATTTTAAGTTTTGATTATTTATTTGTTCCGGTTGCGGACAATTCGTATGGTAAATTAAACAAGGAGACCAATCAATGGGATGGTATTATTGGTGAATTGATAAATAATGTAAGATCTTGAATTATTTTTTATAAAAACAAAATTGAATGTATTTCACATTTAGGATGCTCACATGGGTATATGTGATCTGACAATTACCCAGAAACGTAAGACGGTGGTGGACTTTACGGTACCATTCATGCAATTGGGTATCAGTATTTTGGCCTATGAAAAACCTATTGAACAGAAACCTTGGAATGCCTTCTTGGAGCCGTTTACCAATGAAGTTTGGATTTATGTCATGTTGTCGGTTTTTATTATGGCATTTTTATTTCTCTTTATGGCAAGGCAAGTATGGGAGTTATATCACTTTCTATTTTAATAAAAGAGTCGAGTGACTGATTTCTTGACTAATTGACTGATTCATCAACATCCAGACGATGATAGAATCATGCAGTTTTGGGTGAGGTTAACCTTAGGGCGAAGATGAGAAGTCTAGATTTTAGTAAATTTTTATTACAAGGGTATGATAAGAAGAAGGAGCGGTCACTGGCGGAATGAAGTATACATATACCAAAGGGTTTTTAGGAAATTTAAACTTCAAGTGTACGAAAGCTACAATTTTGGTACCATGATGTTTTACGGATAAAACTGAATTCTTGAAATTGTATTTGTGAATCAAAGTTAAGAATCATGCCTGATGTGAGGTGGTTTTGGAAATACCAACTTAAGTGTAGCAATCTTACCAAATGGAACTAAATTTGGTAAAACATGGTTTTGGGTGATGAAATTTAGTATTATTGCCATTGTTATTGTGTACAATTCAGATGAAGAGGTTATTAAGGAATTACGTACAATACGTGTAGGAAAATAGTAAATGGTACAATATTTGGCATATATTTTAGATATATAACTATACAGGCTTAGATGAAGAAAAATATGCAACAAAGTCAAACAACATAATTATACCCTACAACACTATGTGTTGGGGGTATTATAAGTTTGATTGGCCCAAAAATTATGTAACACCTCGAAATATTGGTTTCCCATATAGGAAAGTATATATGGATCTTCCTAGCTCGCCGAGCTGAGTCGATCTAGCTATGTATGTCCGTCCGTCCGTCTGTCCGTCTGTCCATGTTAATTTGTAATCACTCTACAGGTCGCAATTATGGCCCGATCTTCACGAAATTTAGAATGGAGGTGGGGTTAATGTCAGAATAGAACCCTATTTCTTTTGGAGATGATCGCCAAATGTTTAGGGGTTGAAATGGACCAAATACTGAAAAAATGTCGGATTTTGCAGTAGCTATACAGGTCGCAATTATAGACCAATCGACGCGGAATTTCGCATGTAGCTAGAGTTTAGGGCGGGGAAGAAGCCCACCAATTTGGGTGGTCATCGGATAATATTTAGCGGGTAAAATAGACCATATCTTTTGTGTTAAAAAAAATTCAAAATTTTTCATTAAACCGCGAATATTTTAAATCCCGGCGAAATCACAAAGCCATGACAAGGTTACTTCTGATCTTTACATTGATGTTAACATCCAACAAAACGGATATATAGCAAAATATGTGCGATATATATGTTTATCAAAGAAGATAGGCTTGAAAAATCTCTTATATGTCGAGAACGGCTGAACTGATTTCGACAGTTCTCATTAATTCAGAATGGCCTCTTGGCAGGAAAGAAAAAACGTCTAAAAAATCGCATAAACATATCTCTCTAAAGATGAAAATATTGATTTTGTAAAATTTTCTCACATTTTTTCAATTTTGTCACATTTTTGGCATATTTTCATTTTGAATTAAACATTTGGTAATATTTCTACAGCTAACAAAACTAAGTAGTTAGGATATCAGGATATCATATACAGATCGCATTTATGGCCCGATCCTTACGAAATTTTGCATGGGGATAAGATGAGGGTCAGAATAGAAGCCTACTCTTTTTGGAGATTATCGCCATATATTTTGGGGGTTGAAATGGAGCAAAAAAATGCAAAATTATCAGCAGGTCGTAATTATTGGCCGATCCTCACGCACATTTGAATGGGTGTTACCGGGCATTGCGAAAGCCAAGCAGTTTCGGATGGCCATCTAAAAATATTCAATGTGTAAAATAGTTTGCCAACTTTTGTAGACAAAATACGAAAATGTCCATTCCAGTGACTTTTTGGAGAATTCACAAATACAGGAAAGACGCACTTCTGACTATTTCGTTGAGGAATATAGTCAAATGTCTGTATCTCATATAGATGCGTTTCAGTCAAAAACCAATAATAAATGTTAATCTTTTGCCTCTTCTGAGATATTATAGGTCTTTGGGAAATATTGGTTCCAGATCTAGGAAGACCATTTAAGTGCAACATCTACCAATAAATTGGAAATGAGCAAATTAGTTTAAGTTGCTATTATTCGAAAATTAGAGAACGGAACCTGATGGTTTTCTTTTATTAATTGTCACAATATCTTGTGGAATTCTTTCGAGTATCTCGCCTATATAAACTGTATGTTTTATTAGTGTTGTAGGGTATTCAACGGTCGGCCCCGCTCGACTGTAGCCTTTGCTTACTTGTTTTTTTTTTTTTAATTTTACGAATGAAAGCAAACAATGTCGGAAACAGCATTAAATTTTAGAATGAGTTTAGATTTGTTGGAATTGGTCACCTTTGGCACGAATTAAGGCCTTCAAACGGCCAATGAAACCGTCACACGCTGCCCAAATGTTGCTCTGCGGGAGAAGCGCTTGCTTGAGGTGATCGACACTTTCGTATTTTTAGTGCTAAAATTGCTTTCCAAAATACTCCAGACACAATAGTCCAACGGATCGGTATCTGGAGATTTTGGTGGCCATTGTTCGCTGGAAATGAAGCGAGAAACCTCATTTTGTAACCATTCTTGTGTGCGATGGTGCTGAGTCCTGTTGAGTCCTTTAACAAACCCTCCATAATATTTTCGCGATAATATTCGGCATTTATTCTGATGCCACGGTCGATTAATACGAGTGGAGAGCGACCATCGGCTGTAATGGAGGCGCACACCATCACCATGGCCGATGATGTTGCTTTTTTCTTGACGTCCACTTCCTTGACGTCGGGCTACGCTACCCGTATCACGGTAACGAGCGCTGGTACGAGACACAAAAGATTTATTCACATTTAAATGCTGGGGTGCTCTAACAATAGTCACTTGTGGTTTTCAAGCCAAATGTAAAGAAATCATACTATCACGCTTGAATTACATCACGAATAACTGTTTTTCTGGAAAATGCTTTTGTACGCTTGTAAAAAATATAATGAACTGTCACTGGAATAATTTGAGCAGCTGTCGGACGAGTGGCTGAGAAATGACAGTCTTAATTTGGTTGCAGTTTTTTCATCTCACCCTGTAATTATTCATTTTTGTCTTATATAGATTTCGAAAAGCTTAGAATAAATTGCACAAAACGTACTAATTGATACTAAATTTCAACCGGGTAGAATTTTTAATACCCTCCACCATAATTTCAAGAAAACTTTAAAAATCGGTATTGAATATAGGGTCCATTTCCATTTTGACAGTGGTAAAGCCGATGGTTATTTTCCGGTTATTTTATTGGTTATTTTACCGGATATTTTCTACGTAGTTGAAATATATTACGAGTTTTAAAGTCGTAATAATACCGAATGGCGGGAAGTACAGTTATATGGGAGTTACAGAAAAAAGCGGACCTATGTAGACAATGATTTGCTACAAGGAGTAGAATTCATTATTAAGAACCATCAACAATAATAATGGATTTTTGGAATGTTTTTGATAGAACATCGAACCATTAAAATCAGATTTAGGGAACATTTTTGAAGGAATGTCAGACTAGTTACTGGGGATTTTTGAAAAATATATTTTTTTAGGTCCGACCAAAAATTTTAAATTTTCAAGAACAAATATCAAAAACTATTTAAAAATTGACAATTTCAGAAGGTCACTCGCTACGTCAGTGATGTTGAAGCATGATAGAGTTCATTTATTTTATATACATCTCTGCTGATAATGTGCCAGACGATAAAAAAATGCTTTTGATATAGCTCCCATTAGGATTCCTGATAAGAGAATTGTTGGTTTTCGATATTTTGAATATTTCTGCCTCAAAACTCGGCCGAGATTAAGATGTTTGAGGTTTGGTCATATTTCCAGCAAAAGTCGCTGTAATATAGTTTTGAAATCTCGCCAGATTTTTAATACCCTTCACCTTACCTCAAACTTTAAACTGCATAGACAATATTTTGTCATAGACTGTAGTTCGCATTACGAACTCTAAATACAAAATTTGAAAAATCTCCGATGAATAATGCCGCTAAATTCTTCAAAATACCGAATATTGGGAGTTATTGTACAATGCTATATGGGAAATATAGAAAAATGTGGTCCTATGTGGACAATTTTTAGTAGTCGGGACTTTTATATGCCAAACCTTAAACAATTCCGCTTAAAGTGTGGCCACAACCATTAAAAATAAACCAAATTTAGGGAGGTTCCGGGTTGTGGGGAAAAAAGAAGACCTACAACTGTATGGACCTTTTTCCGTCTGAGAGGTTGGTATCTACTAACAACTTCAAATACCAAGTTTCGAATAAATTCGTTGGAAAATGTGGCTTAAATTATCAAAAATCCTGAATATTAAAAGGTACGTTGAAACCCTGTTTTCAATTCCAATAAAATATGCATATCACCAAAATTTATGTTATGTATATTGATCCCTTCTAAAGTTAGAGTGACAGACATGTTTAAATCATTTTAGAATTTTACGCTAATCGCTAATTTACAAATTCTGTAGATTTTAAGACAATTGATTTAACAATATTTTATGTTTTGGCTTGGTCAAATTAACTCCGTTTTTACTTGTTTTATTCCAGAATATCGACAAGTGAATGGCAAAATCCCCATCCCTGCAACAATGATCCAGATGCATTGGAAAATTCTTGGAATGTTTCAAATGTGTTTTGGCTAACGGTGGGTTCCATTATGACAGCGGGCAGTGATATCTTACCGCGCAGTGCTCCTATGCGCACCTTCAACGCCATGTGGTGGATTTTTGCTGTTATTATAGCCAATTCTTACACAGCCAACTTGGCTGCCTTTTTGACCAACAGCAAAATGGAAGGTGACATTAAGGGCGTCGAAGATTTGGCCAAACAAAATGAGGTGAAATTCGGCACCATAGAGGGTGGTAGTACATATACATTCTTTTCGGAATCTAATGACACCGATTTTCGTTTGGCCTATAATATGATGCAGTCTCAGGAGCCGTCGGTCTATACTAAAAGTAATGAAGAAGGTGTGGAGAGGGTGTTGAAAAATAATGGTTCCTATATGTTTCTGATGGAAACAACCTCATTGGAATACAACACTGAGCGGAATTGTAAATTGAAAATGTTGGGTGAGACTTTTGGTGAGAAACACTATGCCATAGCAGTGCCATTTGGTAAGATTTTAATGACAAGACGGATTTACTTATTTAAAAATAAACATGTATTCTCTTTCTTCCTATAGGGGCCGAATATCGTTCCAATTTAAGTGTTGCCATTCTGAAACTTGGCGAACTAGGACGACTTTTTGAGATGAAGAAAAAATGGTGGGTTAATGAAGACAAGGATTGCCCCCAAGAAACCAAATCAAATTCGGAAACAAATGATTTAAATTTTACCGAAGTCAGAGGCATATTCTATACCCTCTATGTTGGCCTCTTCATAGCCTATGTTGTTGGTATCACTGAGTTCTTGATTTACGCCCAGCATGTGGCTGTTGAAGAGAAATTAACATTTAAACAAGCTCTGACCAAGGAATTGAAATTTGTTTTAAAAGTTTGGAATAACAAGAAACCAGTATCACCGGTCTGTAGTACACCCTCCTCGTCGCATAGATCCGGTAGCACTGACAAGTCGACCAAATTGTATGCCATTCGAAAATCACCATCGGATAAAATTAACGGAGATGTGGACGAGAGAAAGAGCATGAAAAGTATGAAGAGCATCAGAAGTTTGAAAAGTTTGAAGAGCGCCATTGTAAATACCATAAGAAAATTCTAATTATTTTTGTCAATCACTTATTTATATGATCAATAATGTATGTAAACGAAAATTAACAATAAAGTTTAACAAATTAATTCGAACATTGTTGTCGTGTCTATGGAAAAATAATAAAATAAGGGGAAAAAGAAAAATCATTTACATACTAGGTCTCAGTCGAAGTCTAATTTAACAACGATTCGTAATGGAATGCAATAAGTATATATTACTGGGCCAAAAATAAATCTAAACCAAATAATTATTCTTTATAGTATCCAAAGAAAAATACATACCAAAATAAATATCAACCAACTAATTATACCAAGTTTTATTAACTTTAGACAACGACTTCTGTTTCCGTCCAACCTTACAAAGATGCAGCGCCACTGTGTATCGAAGATTGTAAGTATAAATCAAACTTCTTGTGATGGCTTCAAGCTGTTTTGTAAGTTATATACAAGGGATTTTGGTTCAAAGAGCCCTACGGTCTGACATGACACTTTTTGGCCGTATCAAATGATAGTCCTTACACTTGCTTTTCTACTATTACGGCACACAGCTTCACAAACGAGCTTTGAAAGGCCTCGTTCTGATGGAATTTTATTTTAAATATAAATCAATTGAACTGAATATTTCGTTGCTTGTTCCTCGCCTATTTGGCTTACAGAACAAAATATTTGCATCGGTTTGTCTTCCAGAATTTCAGCGCAGTCATAAGTTTGTAAGTATGAATACAGTTGGCGTGAGTATTTTCGCGCATTCAAAACTTGAGTTTTTTTGGAATGTCAGAGACTGAGATTTTAATTTGAATATTTTCCCGATAATATTCGGCATTTATTCTGATGCCACGGTCGATTAATACGAGCGGAGAGCGACCATCGGCTGTTATGGTGGCCCACACCATCACCATGGCCGGCGCTCGAGTTCTGGTGGCCAACACATTTTCAGCTCTTTAGCAAGTAAACACGATCATTTTGTTTGTTTATAAACTGTTGGCCAACGAATGTTTTCTCACCGGAGAAAACCAAATTCGGCAGTTCACCACTTTCGGCCAAGCGATGCAATTCTTTAGCTCTTTATACCCTACACCACAAGGTGGTCAGGGTATTATGTCTTTGTGCATTTGTTTGTAACAGGCAAAAGGAAACGAGATAGACCCAAAGTTCCTTTTGATGATCTGCATAGAATCACATTCTGAGTCGATTTATGCATGTCCGTCCTTCCGTCTGTCCATGTATTTTTGTAAACAAAGTACAGTTCGCATTTATTGCCCTATCCAGTTGAAATTTTGCACAAATCATTTGTTTGGCCCAAGGACGATCCCTATTGAAATTGGAGATAATCGGTCAAAATTTAGATATAGCTCCCATATATATCTTCGTCCGATTTGCCTTTTATTGTGCACCAAACGTGTAATATCAGTCCGAATAATATGGAATTTTGCACGTACGATCAGATTGGACCTGAAAATAAGCATGCCAAATTTGACCGAAATCGGTTCAGATATAGCTATAGCTCCCATATATATTGTTCATCCGATTTGTTTTCTTTTGTCCTCCGCAGCCGTAATATGCACTCTGTAACAACAATATTTGGGGAAATATATCAAATACAGCTCAGAAATACATTTGCTAAATTTTATCGAGATCGGTTCAGATTTGGATATAGCTCCCATATATAACTTCGTCCGATTTACCTTTGATTGTGCACCAAACGTCTAATATTTGCCCAAATGGGCACTTTGGCACTTTCGACCGAGTCTAGAAACTAGTATGTCAAATTTGGTGAAGATCGGTTCAGATATAGCTATAGCTCCCATATATACTGTTCATCCGATTTGACATATTTGTTGCCCAGAGCCGTAATATGCACTCCGTAACAAAGATATTCAGGGAAATATATCAAATTCAGCTCAGAAATATCTTTGCCAAATTTTATTGAGATCGGTTCCGTCATATTTAGTCATTTGAACTTAAAATTATAATTATAATCGTAGCGTGTATGATTGAATTCTCCCATAAGAACTTTTAATTGTTATGCGCAGCTCTACTAAATTAGGAAAGTGGTGTAGGGTATCATAAAGTCGGCCCCGTCCGACTTTAAGGCTTTCTTTACTGGTTTTTATCTATTTTCTTTCTGTTGCGGTGTAAGTTCTTGCAATTTTTGCACTTGAAAATGCTTTTGTACGCTTGGTGATGGTGTGGAACGCCATAACAGCCGATGGTCGCTCTCCGCTCGTATTAATCAATCGTGGTCATGGGGAATATTCTGGAAAGTGTATTAAAGCCTTGGGCACGCAAACATTTAAGCCGCAGACCTTTGATATTCCAACAGGACTCAGCACGCGATGTTATAAAATGAGGTTTCTCGTTTCAAAATCTCGGGATCCGTTGGACTATTGTGTCTGGAGTATTTTGGAAAGCAAGGTTGACACCGGGAATGGGCAAAAAAACCCCAGACCAACATTAGGGTAGCGTGCGGAATGTTCGTACCACAGTTGACCAATTCGATCAAATCTAAACTTATTCTAAAATTTGATGCTATTTCCAAAATTTTTTGCTTCCATTCAATAAAATTAAAAAAAAAAATGTAAAACTTATGGCGTTTGACTTTGTTGCAGTTTTTGTATCTCACGCTGTTTAATTGACATATATCTCTAAATATAATATAATCTAAATATATTTCTGTTTTGGGTGTTAGTACCCGTTAAGAAATCTAAATATCCGGTTTTAATCTACTGCTTTAGAAAGTGTGACTAAAATCTTTAAAATGCTAAATACGGGGAGGTACATTTATACGAAAACTTTGACCGATATAGCTCATCTTCACCTGCCTGCACATACCGTTTGGACTCTAGTGGGATTACAAAAGACTGACGGACGGACAGAGCTAAATGACTCAGAATCTTACGCTGATCAAGAAAATATATATACTTTTTTGTGTTTCAAACGTCTATTTCGATGATTAACAACCGGAATGACAAACTTAACATGCCTTCCATACTGTGTATAGTAGAGTGTATAAAAAGTAAATCGTCTTAGAATTTTACACTGACAAATTACATAAATAATTCAGTGGGTCTAAAGTGGAATAAAAAACGTAATACAAATATAAATGAGGTAAGTGTCCGTCCGTTTCATCTCATAAATATTTTGAAATTATCTCCAAAAACTATACGCCTTATTCGTGCCATTACTCAGACACCATTACGATATTTACATCGACTGATGAACGGACAGACGCGCAAAGCTTCATCGTGTCAGCATCGGAAAACCAAATGTTGGGCCTAGGACCAATATTTCGAGGTGTTACAATCTCTCACATTAACACCACCAAATTTATTTAAGCTGATCTCTTGGATAGATTTTCCCTACCAACCACTGTGATAGCATAGCGTTGATGCGTTGAATTCCATTTCCACGTCAAATTTGCCGCAACAACAAAAGAGAGGCATCTCTTAGAAGAGTGAAATATGGGTTTTATTAAGAAAGTTTCTGCTTCCAAAATTTAGAAAATATCCAAAATAAGTTTATTAACAAAATATACAATTTAGTTGGTCGCGAGATTCGAATGTGTATGGACGATAGAGCTAGCCAATAAAAACAACGTCATCTGTGTTTAGCCCATTTATGTGTTGACATCAAAAATAAAAACATGAAATTTATTATATTACTATTGTGTCTAGGGGCTGTTAAGTGTCAAAAGAATTTCCCACAAGTTCCTCAAATTAAAATAGGTGACGTGTAATTTACAAGTGTTGTGATCTGGAAATGAATTAAAAGAGGGTTTTTAATTTTTCGTGTTTTTTTTTTTCAAAAGGTGCCTTGTTCTACGACAATGAATATGAAATTGAGGAAGCCTTCGTGCGAACAATTGAATTCGTAAACGCACTACCTAACGGTGAATTCATGCTGGAACCGATCGTCATGCGACTAAACACATACGACAACACAATGTTTATTGAAAAGTATGGTTCGTGGCCCATTTTATTTGATGTAAAAATACTTTCCTTCCAATTACTTGCCCGCAATTTGTTTTAAAAAGTCACAATTTTATTTACCGTCACTATTTCTAGCATGCGACTTATTAAATTTGGGTGTTGCTGCTATTTTCGGACCAAGTTCAAGGGCAAACAGTGGTACGTATGTATGAGTGGAAATGTTCATGTTCATCTTCGTATTGTCTGATAGCTGTCTGACTAGTGTTTTAGAGACCAATGACCGAAATGATAACAAAAACAAATAGTGGGTGTAAAAGTGACAGAATATATTAATATAATTCTTATTATAGATCCAGACAATCGTTGTTTATATTTCACGTGTGTGTATTACATTTATATCAAAATATTGTCTCATGGGAGACAAACTAATTGTGTGTGTTTTCATATTTATATGGGTAATTTGTTTGTCGAGATGTTCATCGAGAGCTTTGTTAAGCAGAATTTGTTCAATGAAAATAATTAGTTAAATATTGCTATTTGCCCATAATTAAACTATAAATAACAATTTTGAGGATTATCAGTGATATGGAACATTAGTAAATCAAATAGCATAAATGGTCCTACCGAATTGAATGTGATGTGGTATTTAGGGTTCCATGAATATTAAATCTATCACTTCTCTAAAAATCCTCATAATAATAATTTATTTTTCTTAGGGCTTCTTGTGAAATACATACTTTGTCTCTCTTAATATTTGGAAGCTATAGTCCACTAAATGTGAATTTGGCCTTAAAAATACTCTCAGATTGCCCGAGAAACATAATCTTTCTTTCAACCTACACTGCAATGTGGTGATAGGATATTTAGTGTTTGTTTTGCTCTAAATGCAAAACGGCAAAATAATAGTCCTTGAATCCACCTTTGGTGTACCAATCTTCGACGTGATGAAAATGTAAAATGTAAATATGATATATGTTTATATACAGCGTCCAGTGACAGCTCATTATATTGTTCACAAGCGAAAAAAGCATTTTGGTAAGAATTTTCCAAAAAAAAAAAAAAAAAAAAAAAAAAAAAAATTCGTGAAGGAATTTAAGCGTGATTGTGTGATTTCTTTATATTTGGCTGGAAAACCACAACCACAGTGGCTATCCTTAGAGCACTCCAACCTTTAAATGTGAATTAATCTTTTTCGTCTCGTACTATCGCTAGTTACCGTGATACTGGACGGAAGAAAACTGCAACATCAGCAGAAATGGTTCGAAAAGTATGTGAGCTGAACATATCGCAATATTCCATTCGGCAAATATTAAAAAATTAGCTCGGGGTAAAGCCATTGAAATTCCAACCAGTAAGAAAGCAGTAAGTTCGGCCGGGCAGAACTTTAAATACCCTCCACCATTTGGTACAAATTAGAAAATTTTCAAAAAAATAAAATTTATTAAAAATTCTGTTAAAATCTAATATGGGAAGGTACTTTATGGGATGACATAAGATATTGTGGATCTATATAGACAATTACCTTTCAGGGGTTAAAGTGCTCACAAAGAACTCCTTGTGTGGATTTTCAGACAATACCATAGGAAAAATGGCTAAAATAATCAAAACACCGAATACCGGGGGTACCGTTGTATGGGGGCTATACGATATCGTGGACCTATAGATAATTCTCTTCCGAGGTATAAATTACCCCACAAAGTACTCCTTGTGTGGATTTTCAGACAACTCCGTTGAAAAATGTGGGTAAAATCATCAAAACACCGAATATCGGGGGCTACCGTTATATGGGGGCTATACGATATTGTGGACCTATATATATAATTATCTTCCAAGGGATAAAGTACATACAAGGAACTCCTTGTCTGGATTATCAGACAATTCCGTTGAAAAATGTGGCTAAAATCAAGAAAATACCGAATATCGGAGGGTATCGTTATATGGGGGCTTTACAATGTCGTGGACCTATATAGATAATTCTCTTACAAGGGATAAAGTACTCATAAGGAAATTCTTGTATGGATTTTCAGACCATTCCATTAGAAAATGTGGCAAAAATCATCAAAATACCGAATATCGGGGGGTACCGTTATATGGGGGCTATATGATATCGTGGACCGATATAGCCCATCTTCGAACTTGACCTGCCTGCAGACAAAAGAGGGATCTGTGCAAAATTTTAGCTTCCTATCTTAATTCGTTTAGACTGTAGCGTGATTACAACAGACGGACGGACATGGCTAAATCGTCTTAGAATTTTACGCTGATCAAGAATATATATACTTTGTTGGGTCTAAAATGATTATTTCGATGAGTTACAAATGGAATGACGAACTTAATATACCCTCCATACTATGTATGGTGGAGGGTATAAAAATTGCAAGAACTTACTCCACAACAGAAAGAAAGTGGACTCACAATAGCTAAAGAGTTGCTTCGCTTGGCCGAAAGTGGTGAACAGCCGGATTTGATTTTCTACGATGAGAAAACATTCATTGTCCAACAGTTTGTAGCAAACAAAATGATCGTGTATACTTGCCAAAGAGGTCAGGTGAAAATGTGCACCTTCGGTTGGTCACCAGAACTCAAGCGCCGGCTATAGTGATGGAGTGGGCCGCTATAACAGCCTAATCTAAATCTAAACTTATTCTAAAATTTGATGCTATTTCCGACATTTTTTGCTTTCATTCAATGAATTTTAAAAAAGAAATGTAAAAATTATGAAGTTTGATTTTGTTGCAGTTTTTTTTATCTCATCCTGTATCTTTCTTCGAAGTTATTTAAAAACTCTTACCCAAAAACTGCTTATACTCAAATGACGATCGAAAGCTCAATAGAAGAGGAACCAAAGAAAGAAAAAATATTTCTGAAAAATCTTGCATCCACACTTGTAAACATATCATAGTTTGGTCCGTTCTTATGGGTTCATTGTACTAGTTATTGGTCGTCAAAATACGCCGATAAATAAGAGCGTACACATCGTACAAATAATATCGAAAAATGTTAAATCATGTAAATTCTAGCGGCATAATTATATGGAAGCCATACAAAATTTAAATTCATTTGTACTTATATTTTAATAACCTTCGGTGCATTTCTTAAAACGTTTACTCTTTTAGATATTGTTTCTGTACTTTCAAATATTACTGGCATACCAAACTTGTTATTTGACTTCATTAACGAAGAGACTGAGGAACAAAAATCTGGCCACCAGTTGAGATTGAATGTCTATCCAGCCGAACATATGCTTTCCAAGGCCTATTCGGATATTATCCTTAATTATGGTTGGAGAAAATTTACCTTAGTCTATGATGTTGATGATGGTGAGTACCATATCTGAATTCGTTCAAAAATATGGGACACCCTTACAAAATAAATGTTTTCCTTTTCTCATACAGATACTGCCCCTATGAGATTACAAGATATTCTCCAGTTAAGAGATCTATACATTGATGCGGTGCGGGTACGAACATTCCGAAAAGGCGATGATTATCGAAATTTATGGAAGAGTATGCAAGGCGATAGAAGAGTAATATTAGATTGTTCGCCAGATGTATTGGTGGACATATTGAATGCCTCCATTCCCTTCGACATGACCGGACAATTTAATGTAAGATTTTAGTTTTGAAAATCGAAATACTCAATTTAAGTATTTTTTATACCCTACAACACTATGTGTTGGGGGTATTATAAGTTTGATTGGGCCAAAAATTATGTAACACCACGAAATATTGATTTCCCACATAGGAAAGTATATATGGATCTTCCTAGCTCGTCGAGCTGAGTCGATCTAGCTATGTATGTCCGTCCGTCCGTCTGTCCGTCTGTCCGTCTGTCCATGTTAATTTGTAATCACTCTACAGGTCGCAATTATGGCCCGATCTTCACGAAATTTAGAACGGAGGTGGGGCTAGGGTCAAAATAGAACCCTATTCTTTTTGGAGATGATCGCCAAATGTTTAGGGGTTGAAATGGACCAAATACTGAAAAAATGTCGGATTTTGCAGTAGCTATACAGGTCGCAATTATAGACCAATCAACGCGGAATTTCGCATGTAGCTAGAGTTTAGGGCGGGGAAGAAGCCTACCAATTTGGGTGGTCATCGGATAATATTTAGCGGGTAAAATAGACCATATCTTTTTTGTTGAAGAAATTCAAAATTTTTCATTAAACGGCGAAATCACAAAGCCATGACAAGGTTACTTCTGATCTTTACATTGATGTTAAGATCCAAAAAATAGCAAATATATGCGATATATATGTCTATCAAAGAAGATATGCTTAAAAGATCTCTTATATGTCGAGAACGACTGAACTGATTTCGATAGTTCTCATTAATTCAGAATGGCCTCTTGGCAGGAAAGAAACAACGTCTACAAAATAGCATAAAAATATCTCTCTAAAGATGAAAATATTGATTTTGTAATATTTTCTCATATTTTTTCAATTTTGTCACATTTTTGGCATATTTTCATTTTGAATTAAACATTTGGTAATATTTCTACAGCTAACAAAACTAAGTAGTTAGGATATCATGATATCATATACAGATCGCATTTATGGCCCGATCCTAACGAAATTTCGCATGGGGATCAGATGAGGGTCAGAATAGAAGCCTACTCTTTTTGGAGATGATCGCCATATATTTAGGGGATGAAATGGACCAAAAACTGCAAAATTGTGGGCAGGTCGTAATTATCGCTCGATCCTCACGCACATTTGAATGGGGGTTACCGGACATTGCAAAAGCCAAGCAGTTTTAGATGGCCATCCAAAAATATTCAATGTGTGAAATAGTTTGCCAACTTTTGTAGACAAAATACGAAAATGTCCATTCCAGTGATTTTTTGGAGAATTTACAAATACAGAAAAGACGCACTTCTGACTATTTCGTTAACGCTGATCTCGTTGAAGAATGTAGTATCTCATATAGATGCGTTTCAGTCAAAAACCAATAATAAATGTTAATCTTTTGCCACTTCTGAGAGATTATAGGTCTTTGGGAAATATTGGTTCCAGATCTAGGAAGACCGTTTACGAGCAACATCTACCAATAAATTGGAAATGAGCAAATTAGTTTAAGTTGCTATTATTCGAAAATTAGAGAACGGAACCTGATGGTTTTATTTTATTATTTGTCACAATATCTTGTGGAATTCTTTCGAGTATCTCGCCTATATAAACTGTATCGTTTATTGTAGTGTTGTAGGGTATTCAACGGTCGGCCCCGCTCGACTGTAGCCTTTGCTTACTTGTTTATTACAGCATTTGTTTTTAACCAATATGGGGAACCTTGAAGGCGTTCTGGAGCCATTGAGAAATAATGAGACTTTCTCTCTCAATATTACTGCAGTTCGGCTGAAAGAAAGTTATGTCAATATGAATGTAAGTAAGCTAAAAACAGCGAATTACTTGAAACCGAATTACCATGAAATTTGGGAAGTTAAAAACTCAGGTTCAATAATTTACAAATGTTCATAAAAAATATCTTTTTTTTTAATGGTGAATATAAAGTTTGCGGATAAAGAAAATTTGGCGCGAGAAGAACAACCCAGGAAACTACTACCGAACCTAATACACGATGCTGTAATGTTATATTATTTGGCCCTGAAAAACATAAGCTCACATTATATGATAGAAGATTCACCGCAGTACTTCTGTGAAAATTTGGATTTCAGTGGGGAAATGCAACGTTGGCCTTTTGGCGAATACACCAGAAGAGTAATGGGCCAGGTGAGCTGTTATCATAATATTTAAATATCTCATAATAATATATCTCAACATGCAATTATAGGCATTTTATTTGAACGACAGTTACTTCAAACATGGTCAGATACAATTCGATAGCTATGGATATCGAACACAATTTGAAATTGAAATCTATGAACCAGTGGATAATTATAATTTAGCCGTGTGGAATACAAATGGTCACATACGCAATGAACATATTTCGAACAATGTTACAAAGAAAATTGTTTATAAGGTGGCCACACGCATCGGTGCACCGTATTTTATGGAAAGGTAAAGGGAAACGTATATCACTTTTCGTCACTTATTTCTAATAAAATATATTTTTTTATAGGGAAGATATGGGTAATGAAACGATTGGAAATTCACGCTATATTGGGTATGCTGTCGATCTTATTGAGGAGTTGTCAAAGGAAATGCAATTCGAATATGTTTTTGTGCCAGTTCCCGGTAATGGTTATGGAAAATACAATAAGGAGAGAAAACGCTGGGATGGCATTATTGGTGAAATTATAAATAATGTGAGTAAAAAGCGAGGGAAAATTAATATGGATAGCGGAAAAGTCAATTCAACTATTCAACTTTTATACCCTCAATACTATGTAACACCTCGAAATACACATTTTAGACCCTACCTAGCGATGTCCGTCCGTCTGTGGAAATCACTCTAGCTTCCGAACGAATTGAAGAAGATTGATTTTAGGGACATTTTTCACCAGAATTGTTTCAAATTTGATATTTGAAGTTTGTAATGGATACTACAGCCTACGACAGAAAATAGTCTGTGCAGGTCCACGTCTTCGTATAACCTTCATATAACGGTGCCTCCGGATATTCGGTATTTTGATTTTATCGACATTATAACCGATTTTTTTTAAGTTTCGCATTTGAATATTGTAATGGCTCATGACAAATGTTACCTACGCACGTTCATGTCGTCGTATAGACCCTAATTTAATAGCTACATTCGGTATTTTTAAGATTTTAACAGAAGTTTTAACGGATTTTATTCTTTTTGAGAATTGCCAAATTCGTTTCAAACCAAACTTACAGCTTTTTTACTTGTTTTTATTTCAATTTTCTTTTAAATTATAATTGGCCACCATCATCCTTAAATCCTAGAAACCAACAGAGACCTTAATACCAAATTTCAGGATTCTAGCTCTATTTATTCACTCAGCGGCAAATTTAATACCATTAATTACTTTTCAAACAACCATTCCTAATTCCAACGCATGTCCCAAACCAAATACTTCATACCAAATTTCAAAATTCTATCTCTACTTCAACACCAAACGGCACATTTGGGGACATTTTCCATTTTTGAGAGTTTATATTACGCATTGCCGAAACCACCTCCTTCTCTCAACTACAGACAGCAGCAGTGACATCCATATCAAATTTCAGAATTTCAGCTCCATCCCTTCACCCAATAACAAATTTAGTAATGTTTGGTTGTTTCGTACAATTATAGTACACCTTTCAAAAACGACCACCAAATCAAATTAGAGGATTCCAGTCTTATCTCTTCACCCAATATCAAATTTAGTACGATTTAGTACTTTTCCTACAAGTATTCGACGTAGTCCTACTCGATTTAATACTTTTCGTACAAATTTAGGATGCATTTCCAAAACCACCTCTATATTTTAACCAAAGACACTCTTGGTACACTGTCACTGTTGGTACATCTATATCAAATTTCAGCTCTATTCCTTCGTCCATTAACAGTATTTTTCGTACAATTATAGTATGCATTCCTAAAATCACCTCAATTTCTTATTTCCAAATACCTACAAAAATTAACACTATTTAGTATTTTTCGTACGATCATAGTACATATTTCCAACACCGCTTCCATGTCTCAAGTCCGGACATCAACAGGGAGCTCAATATCAAATTTCAGAGTTTTATCTCTATCCCTTAAACCAATACTAAATTTAGTACCACTGAGTACTTTTCGCACATTTATTATACAAATTATCGAAAACAATTCCATATATTCAGGCTACACATCAAATTGTATCAGGGACACCAATACAAAATTTCAAAATTCTAGCTTCACCCGTTCATCCTAAACCAAACTGTTTCAAATTTATTACCTTTCAAACAATCGTAGTACACATTTTCAAAATCCCCATATTCTAACCACAGAAACCAACAGTGACATATCTTTCAAATAATTCTAGTAATAATTAATAATTTTAGCAGCCTTGGAATTTTGCAAGTTCCTTCAAATAGGTGGAAGGTATCAAAAGTTCGGCCGGACCAAACGTAGCTGGATTACTACTTTTTAGCTCTAATTTTATTATCTACTGGATTGTTCCTGTAATTATTAAAAAAAATAATAATTTTGTGGCACAGTGTGGAGGCAATAAATATTTCGTCCCGACATAACTTTATGCGGCTTTTATTTTATTTTATTTTTATTTTTTTATTTTTTTGTTGTTGTTGTTTTTTTCAGGATGCCCATATGGGAATATGTGATTTGACCATAACACAGGCTCGCAAAGAAGTCGTGGACTTCAGTGTGCCCTTTATGACATTGGGCATTAGCATCTTGGCCTATCAGAAACCAGTAGAACGAAAATCATGGAGTGCCTTTCTGGAACCATTTCAGAGCGAAGTATGGGTCTACGTTATGGTTTCAATATTTATAATATCGTTTCTCTATTTCGCCATATCGAGGTAAGAACATGCGAACGAATATTGATAATTGTCTTATTATCCCGTCCTTTGTTCCAGAATAACTGTCGGTGATTGGGAAAATCCTCATCCCTGCAATAAAGATCCCGATGTTGTGGAAAATCGTTGGAATATTTCAAACAGCATTTGGATAACAATTGGTTCCATTATGACAGCCGGCTGTGACATCCTACCCACCCATTCGACAATGCGCATTTTCACAACTATGTTTTGGATATTTGCCATTATCATCAATAACTCCTACACCGCTAATATGGCTGCCTTTTTAACCAACAGTAAAATGGAGAGTTCAATTAACGGCATTGCTGATTTGGCCGGGCAAAATGAAGTGAAATTCGGCACCATTGAAGGTGGTAGCACCCACTCATTGTTTGCCGAGTCGAATGAAACAACTTATCGTCTGGCGTTTAATCGAATGCAAGGGTCAGAGCCTTCGGTCTATACAAAGGATAACAATGAAGGTGTCGAACGAGTCCTGAAGAATAATGGCTCTTATATGTTTCTGATGGAAACAACCTCATTGGAATACAATACCGAGCGGAATTGTAAATTGACAATGCTGGGTGAGACTTTTGGTGAAAAACATTATGCCATCGCTGTGCCATTTGGTGAGAGAAGTTTATAGAAATTTATGCATTTTAAGATAGAAATTTATTTCGTTGCAGGTGCGGAATATCGTCATGCATTGAATGTGGCTATTCTTCGGTTGGCAGAGAAGGGAATTTTACCCACGCTCAAACAGAAATGGTGGAAAAATACAAACAGCTCATGTGAACAGGAAGAGGAGTCGGAAAAGGACACCCCCGATTTAACATTCGACAATGTTCGTGGTATATTTTACACGCTCTATGTGGGTGTGTTTATAGCCTATGTCATTGGTATTACGGATTTTTTACTCTATACGCATCATTTGGCTGCCGTAGAGGATATGTCATTTAAAGAAGTTTTTCTTCGAGAATTTAAATTTTTTTTGAACATATGGAATAATAAGAAGCCCGTGCCGAAATCAAGAAGCATTCGTTCAAACTCAATTACATCGAGTGAGAAGTCGTACAGATCCTGTTCGAAATCCATAAAATCACACAAAAGCTGTAGATCACTGAGGAAGAAGTGCATGGCCAACGGAGATGTTCCGGAGGTAAAAAGTGTTAAGAGCTTGAAGAGTTGTCTGACAAAACATTAAATACAAATATTTTTCCAATAAAGATATATCAAAATTTTAAAATAATAATAAATAATACAATATTTAAAAATATATCTGAAGGACAATTTACTAAAAAATGTACAGAATGGTTACAAGGCTTGAATCAGACAAGTTACGAAAGTTGTATTCAGGATTGTTTTGTTTTCCTATCCCATCAACTTTTGCTGTTATGGGCCGCGGAAGTTTGGGCCTTTATATCAAAAAGGATGCATTTTGTGAGGCTTATAACTTGAAAATCATTTAGAATTTTGAATCTCTGAGGCTAAATTATAGCTATTGTAATCTATATATAGAGTACCGGAATAATTGATTGACTGGCTGATTTAGAATCAACGACCAAACGAAACGGCTGAAGCTAGAATCTTGAAATTTAGCACGAGGGCCAGTCTTAGTGCGTAGACTGGGTTTTTGGAAATTCGAAATTTAAGATTACGAAAAGTCCTAAAATGGTACTAAATTTCTAAAACGATATCATTTGGTATTATGTGAACGGATAGAGTTACAAACTTGAAGTGTGTTAACTGTACTAAGTGGTACTAAATTTGGAACAGTTTGGCTTAGGAAGAACGAATGAAGCTGGAATATGGAAATTTAGTATTGATGTCCCTATTGGTAGTAGGTTTGACAAGTGCACGAAAAATACTAAATAATAATTTTATGTGGTAATTGGTGAGCAGATAGTGCTGGAAAACTGGAATTTGGTATTTGGGCCTGTTTCCTTTAAATAAGGAGGTGGTTTCGGAAATGTTTACAATGATTGGACGAAAAGTACTGAATGGTACTAAACTTGGTATAAGGTGGAGGGATAGAGATAAAATTCTGAAATTTTAAATTTGAATTACCGATGGTTTCTGGAATTGAGATTTGGCGTTGGTTTGGAAATGCATTCTATATTTGTAATAAAAGTACAGTACAGTATTTGACATTAAGTTCTCTGTTGGTGTCTGTGGCATATATGGAAATGTTATTGGAAATGTGTTCTATAATTATTTAAAAATACTAAGTCTTACTAAATTGAATATTGGGTGAAGGGATGGAGCTGGAATACCGAAATTTAATGTTGAGGTTTCTATTGGTATTTGGGATGTAGTTATGAATGTGGTTATGGAAATGTGTACTATAATTGCACGAAATGGTACTAAATTAAATAGTGCTAAAATACTTGAATTTAATATTAATGTTAAGATCTGGAGGAGGTATGGGAAATGTGTCCTATAATTGTCCGAAAAGTACTAAGTTGTACTAAATTGGGTATTAGGTGAAAGGATGGAGCTAGAATCCCGACATTTGATGTTGAGGTCTCTATTGGTATCTGGGATAGAGTTATGAAAATGGTTTTGGAAATATGTACTGTTTCTAGGCTTACCTTTTTTGCCTTTGAGCCTTTTGAAATAATAAGAAATTAGTTTTGTTTTTTATTTTGTGTTTTTATTTATTATTATTTAGATTTTTTCCCAGGGGTAATTGCAATATAGATGTAACATTAGGTTTTAGGTTTTTGCAATTTATTTTATGTTTTCAATAGTTCATAAGTTTTATTTAGTTTATTTATTTTTGTACATTTTAACTCACTAGTTTCTAAGTTTCAATTCACTAGTTTTAAGTTAATATATTCTTAAATTAATTAGTTTGTAGGTTTTAGAATTCAAAACTTTCGTTGCATAATTTCACCTTCTTGTTGTACGTTGTTTGGCATCATACATCTTTGTTATATCTGCATTGAAGGCATATTTAAAAAATCTCCATTTTAGAATTTGTAGTACCAAATCTTGTTGTAAAATGGGTCCCGGAAACAATATGTCATTGAGACTTGTTTTGTTTGATGATGGGCAAGAAGCATTGAAGACGACTCTTAACTTTGTCGTGATTCGATCTGGCTTAATTACTGCATGATGTGGTAGATAATAATTTGGCATTTTATCTATTTCATTCGGATTGATTTTCCTCATATGACCAAGTTCTAAGTATTCTAGTATTGAGGCATCATATTGTTCTTTGATCTCTGGTGTTTTCATAAGTTTTTTCTCCATTCTGTAGAATTGAGCTAGGGCGATGTTTCTGGAATTCCCCAATTCCTCGCATTTTTTGAATGGGAGAGTCACCACATATCTTCCATCCTTGTTCCGTATTGTTGTTTCAATGAAGTTTTGTTCACAAAATTGGTCTTCTTCTGACCGTAAAACTTTTTTAGGGGTCTCTTCCACCTCCCAAAAACGTGTAAGTACTTTCTCTATTGAAGTTGTGTTTAAAAGTGAAATTTGTTTTCGTTGAAGGATGCTTCCTGGTATGGGTCCTCCAACTATCCATCCAAATTTGGTTTTTTGTGTTAAAATTGATCCAAATGTTTTCATTGGAGTTCCAATTGTGAATATTAATGGTCCTATGTCCATTCCAATAAGTAAATCGATTGGTTGACTAACGTAAAATTTCGGGTCAGCCAGTTCTAATGCTGTTACATCTCGAAGTTGTGAATCATCTAAGTTCTGTGGTGGTAGATTTGAAGGTAAGTTCTTTAAAACTGGAGCCCAGACTTCCAGTTTAAAGCTAGGGTCGTATTTGGATCTCATTGTAAACAAGCAAGATTTTGTTGAAGTCTCAGAAACAAATTGACTTAAGCCAGTGACATGAACTAAGTTGTTCCGTGTAGGTAACTTCAAAAAGTTTTTCATCTTTTCCGAAATAAAGGTGGATTGTGATCCTGAGTCTATTAGAGCTCGGGCATCGTAAAGTTGTCCTTTGGTTTCAATTTGTACTATTGCTGTGAAAAGTAGCGTTCCTCCAGATTGTCGCTCACTAATTTGCTTATCTTGGAGGGTCAAAGTAGTAATAGTAGTTGGTTCTAGGTTTGTAGTGGACTGTATTTGATTTGTAAGAGCGGCAGCACTAGTACTAGGTCGTGCTTCCACTCGAGCTAGGTATGAGTTAGTTGTTTGGGTTTCCGTTCCCTTGTGTAACAAAGTATTGTGTTTCATAGTACAAATACGGCAGCCAAAGCGACTTTTGCAATCCTTTACTCCGTGATTTGATGACAAGCAATTGTAGCATAAGTGTGAAGTTTTCACGATGTGAATTCTGTCATTCACACTCTTTTTCAAAAATTCGCTGCAATCTCTTATGAAATGATTTGATTTGCAGACTTGACAAGTTTGAGTATTTTTCGGCTTATTTTGTTGAGGTAATATTACATTAGTAGGTCTTCCTCCAAAGTTGTTTGTATTTTTTGAGACATTTGTTTGAAATGTTTTCAAAAATCTAGGCGTGTGATTGTTAGTTGGTTTTTGTTGAGCGAATTTCGATGTAGAAGGCTTTATGTTACCAACTGATTCCAAAGTTTTGAATTTGTTTGTTAAGAAAGCGTCAAACTGTTCCCATTTTGGAATTTGTTTACAATCGCTTAATGAGTTCTCGAATTCTTCTAAAAAGCCTCTAGGTAATTTTGTTGAACAAATGTATATTAAAATCGGATCCCATCCTTTAACATCGACATCAAGCATCCCCAGTGTCTGAATGCTGCTATTTACCGTGCGTTGTAGTTTTTGAATAGAGTGACTTGATTCAGCAGAAACTCCAGGTAGATTAAAAAGTGTCTTGATTTCTTCATTAATTTGCATTCGTTTATTCTCGTAACGATCTGTGAGATTTTTCCATGCTAATGTAAATCCATCATTAGTTAGTGGGACATGTGAAATAATTTCTCTAGCTTCTCCTGCTGTCTTTTGCGTTAAATGGAATAATTTTTCGACATTGCTTAATTTTGAGTTGTTTATATAAATTGCCGAAAATAGATCTCTGAAAGTTGGCCATTCTCTATAACCACCTTTAAATGTGTCTGTATCGCATGGAGGTAGCCGCGATACATTAGTAAAATCCACTTCCCTTCCTTGTTGTGACATCTCTGACTCTCTTTTCATTTTTTCCTGTGTCTTTTCATCCAAAAGATTTTGAATTTGTCCATTTATTGAACTCAGCGCTTTTTTGTACGATCCCATTGTATCCATATAGTACTTTCTCAGTTTATTTTTATCGATCGGCTTTCCTTCCTCTTCTGGAACATAATCCCGGCAGTCTATGTAGGCTCTCTTGACCTGGTCCCATGCAGAGTCCAACTCCATCCTTGTTGTCTCCAAAGTATGTACCGTGTCATCAGGTTTGGTTATTGAAAAAATTGAAATATAATCCAGAAGATCGTTGACGCAATTTGTGAATTTATCGCTTAACGTTTTATCCATTTTGAAAACTGAGCGTTAACCTTTACGAAATTTTGTTGGTTTACAAAAAAGAAAAGTTGCCCAATGAAAAGGACTAACTTGGTTTAGAATTTAAACTTTTATCCAAATTTTTATTTGTTAAAATGAGGATAAGTTTTTTTCTCAATAGTTGTCGACGAAAACGATCCTATTTTATTGGTTTGAGTCAAATTATATTTCGTTCCTTTCAATAATTAAAATTTTTTTTTTCCAAAAATTCAAAAATTTTCTTTATATTTGACGCCGGACTGACTTGATTAAAAAATGTTTGCTGGGTTACCAGAAGGGTCAAAATTTCGCCAAAATGAGCAAAAAGGAAAATAAAATCTCTTAAGGTCCACTTACAGGAGGATTTTATTCTTGCAATTCGACAAATAATCAAAGGTTTTTAAAACAAAAGTGTTTAAACGAGAATTGCAAAGCAGAAATTACCAGAGATGTTTTGCTCAGTAACAATTTTTTCCAAAAAAAAACGAGAGTCTAATTTGATTGTCAACGAGGAGTTGAAAATTCCAAAAAAAAAAATCAGAGAATCCAAAAAAATTTCAACGAAGTAAAAATGTGTGTTGGGTTGTCGAAAAAAATTTTAAAAATTTTTGGTTAAAATCACTTAATATCCTATGAAAGGAGGATTTTATTTTATAACCAATAACTTTGATTATTGCTTGTGAAAATTTGTCTGATTCAACAAATTTTCTAAATTCGCCAAATTTTTTCGATAAAATTCGCAACGAGAATTAGAGAAAATTATGTATGTATAAATCCAAATATTTCAGAAGAAATATTTCAAAC